AGATCTGTAATACACAGGCATGTGCACACATTAACCCTTGAAATACAGCAGGTGTTTTACTGACCACTGCTAGTAGTGTTTAAAGTCAGCATCCTACGGAGTACAACAGTCGATTTCCAGAGGTAAAATCCCATTCATTTTCTCCAAAGAGAGCTGACTTTTAATGATTACTTAAAGATAGACCTACTTTGAGCTACAAGGTTTTTAATTGATGATATGCTTTTGTTGAAATCATCATTCTGCATTATTTGGACTTTTTTATTTTTTAAACTGTATATAACAGTGGAATTTCATGGTGAAAAAATACATTACCAATGATTCAGCAAAGAAATCTCCACGAATCACAGCAAAAGAGTTCCTCAGCACCAATATATATATGTGTGTGTGTGTGTATGTGTACATGAACTTCTTTAATTGTATATTTGTATATTCCCATTGCTTTTAATTCAATTATGTCTTTGCAATGCTTCATTTCCCTCATTACAGCCATTAAGAAAAATTGGGAAAAATGGGACTAGTTTTTGAACAAACCATTGAAGTATTGAACTTTGGCTTTTCTCACATTCTTAGTGCTATGGACATACGGAGCCCCTAAAGGGACATGGTGGTGGGAAAAAAATTCGGGGTGGGAGGAAATTTTTTTTTGCGTTCCCTCGCAAAACTTTTGCGTTCAGATAGACCTACTTTGAGCTACAAGGTTTTTAATTGATGATATGCTTTTGTTGAAATCATCATTCTGCATTATTTGGACTTTTTTATTTTTTAAACTGTATATAACAGTGGAATTTCATGGTGAAAAAATACATTACCAATGATTCAGCAAAGAAATCTCCACGAATCACAGCAAAAGAGTTCCTCAGCACCAATATATATATATGTGTGTGTGTGTATGTGTACATGAACTTCTTTAATTGTATATTTGTATATTCCCATTGCTTTTAATTCAATTATGTCTTTGCAATGCTTCATTTCCCTCATTACAGCCATTAAGAAAAATTGGGAAAAATGGGACTAGTTTTTGAACAAACCATTGAAGTATTGAACTTTGGCTTTTCTCACATTCTTAGTGCTATGGACATACGGAGCCCCTAAAGGGACATGGTGGTGGGAAAAAAATTCGGGGTGGGAGGAAATTTTTTTTTGCGTTCCCTCGCAAAACTTTTGCGTTCCCTCGCAACACTTTTGCGTTCTCTCGCAA